TACTTACTTAATTAATTATTAAACTAACGTACTACTACGTACGTATTAGTTAACTTAACTAAAACTAAATAAAGTAAATTAATTAACTAACTAACTAACATATATATATATATATATATATATATATATATATATATGAATATAGTTGAATGTGCGAATGTATATATATATACATACAAATACACACACACTTACATACATATAGCATATAATTGATATTGGTAAATAAGATTATTGTGTAACACTTACCTACATCTTCAGCCCTATGATTTTGTATTACTTCAGCCATGTGATGGTTTCCAGCTATTACTGCCACCTGGTAGGGACTCTGGTTAGCATAGTTTAGTGCATTCTTATTGGCACCTCGGAAAAGTAAAACCCTGGCACAGCTTTCTTGGTCATTTACTGCACACACATGAAGAGGGGTGTTACCACTAGCATTGCGAGAGTTTATGTCTGCTCCATAAAACAAAAGATGTTCTAGATGCTGAACTAAACCATGTTTGCAAGCCTGAAAAGTAAAATAATGCAGCTTACTTTATAGAAATGTCTCATTGCTTGCACAAAACAAACAAAGCCTAATTCAGTATAAAAACAATACCATTAGAGCCCCACAAGTAGATAATATGAATTTGAATCTAGATTTTATTAGTAAAACTTTGTATAATGAGTTGTTTTTTTTAGGGTTATAAAAAAATCTGTTTGGATATAAGCATGCAAAATAATCTAGAGAACCATAAAATTACAAACTAAGAAATACTTTTATCATAGATAAGCTAATAATAAATGAGGTAGAAAAGTTTGATTATGATCAAATTAAAACTTTCACCTAAATGCTGATCTTACATAAACTTTATTTTTTCATTACTCCAACACCGACTAGTTTTATAGGACTTTTACCACGTGTGGGATTATAACCAAAAGGTAAGTCATATGACCATGATAACAAGAGGTTCTGGGTTTTTTAAGTGAAGTGTAAATAAGTCTGATTCAACCATAAATGGATGAGCTCATAAAATTCTATACTTGAAAATACATCTAATGCTTCCTCTAACAGTTGACATCAGCTTCTCTGTGAATAGCAAATGGACAAGAGCATAAGGCAACTTTCATCAAATGGTCATGAGCATAAGGCAACTTTCATCAAATGGTCATGAGAGTAAATATAATCAACAAACAGACCTATATTCCATTTCTAAGATCCACATAATTCCATTTGTCACCCATGACATCCAACTAGTTCCTGTTACAGAACAAGATACCAGAATTTCCTCCATTCACTTTTCCACTTATAATCAACATCCCAGACAGTTAATATAAGCTGTTGATTAATGTTTGTAAGCATGCCAGGAATTTTTATGGAAAGATACACTTGGGCCAGTTCTCTTGATCAAGTGTAACCACTTAAGTCAATGTTAATGTAGTTCAAAATTAAGCACATCCTGTTTGTCTAGAACTAGCATCTACGAAAGAAAAATCTGTTATAAAAATTCAGAAAAAGTAATTACCTGATATAGCTGAATAAAAATATATTCAGTTCCTAAGCTATGAAAGGACTATAGCTAGGATACTTATTACACATTTAGTTAAAAAAAGTATCTTTAGATAATATTTTGTTAATAAACTATCTATATTTTTGTTAAGTGTATTGAATTTACTTGTGGAATAAATATACATACACAACATTAATTTGGTTGCATTATAAGATTTAAGTATTCTGTCTAGTAAATATATAATAATACTCCTAGAAAATTAAGGATATTTACAGTGGTTAACTAACTCATCTAAATAAAGAAATGTTATGGTTTAATCTTTTATGTTAGCCAAAACAGAACAATTTATGATCTCTGAATGTTACAGATACAGACCTGATGGACTTCTTGCCACCCTTGATGATCAGCCACTCCAAAGATGGCATGATCGTGTAACAAACATTCTGTTAGTTTTGGATCACGGCCGTAGGAGACACTGTAGTACAGTGCTGTTAAACCTCTGTTATCTTTATAGTTTGGTGATGCTCCCAAATCAAGCAGACTCTACAATTAAGGAGTATTATATTAATCCAGCTTCAACAACTCAAGCTCCATCTTAATTTTATAATTTAAATTTTTGAATTATATCAGATTTGGTGCAACTGACACATTGCATATTATTAACAGGTATGTATATTTGGTTTAAACAATACTTGAATGTTAACTGTTTAAAACTTGATTGATTTTTAAAAATACAAATAAATTCCCATTTAAAATATTTTTACACAATTAAACTTTATATTAGCAAGTCATTAAAAAAAAATTTCACTGATTCAATTTTAAATGTACATTAAAGATACTTTTCCTTATCCTGCAAGTGTGTCAAGTTTCCTAATTACATACTATAATTCTAAAATACCTCAAAGCTTTTGTAATTTCAAGTTTATACTAAACAAGAAACTAACAAAATGTTTCAAAATTCTTATATTTTCACAAACTAACAACAAATAAAATAGAATTATATTTTTTTCTCTATTATTGATTGAACTGAAGTTGGTCAAATTTGCAATTTTTAGCTTTTCACTATATTTTATTAACTAACATGAATTTTTATGGTTGGTACTGCAGTTGGGAAGCTACAAAATTAAATGCTACAATTAGGTCTAAAATTGCAAGGCTTCAAACAAGATTCTGCAATGAAAGAGCTTAGAGATGGATATAAAAAGTTACAACAAACATCACTCAACAAAGCACCCATTTGTCCTGTTCCTTATCATAAACCTAAGTTAAATTATAAAACTGATATAATTCTGCTACAGTGATCAAGGTAAGAGTTATAACCTTATCTGATGTATAGTATGTTCCATATTGCAATTATTTATAACTGAGCTTTATTAAATGTTTCAAATAAAAAACAAAATAATACTTGATAATTAAGATAAAAGTCCTCTGATATTTTTGATAATTTTTAAATAAAATTTTAAACTATAATTTTATAAGATAATCTAAAAATAAACTCATGGCATTTAATAAAAGCTAAGTTAGTTTAAAAAAAGATGTTTGTGTTTTTTTTATAATTAATTCTTACACATATCACCACATTAATAAATCAAATTTAACAAATAAAAGGAATCTTACAACCTTTAAGGCTTCAAAATTGTTTTTCTCCACAGCACGATGGAGTGCAGTCCTTCCATCTTTCATTCTGTAATCTAAATGGGCACCACCATTCACAAGTTCCATCAGAACAGCAGCAGGCTGATGCAAAGTCGTTGCAAGCATCAAAGGAGATTCTACAAACAATAAAACACCAAATACTTTTAATTTAATTTTTTTAACACAATAAAAAATATAATGTATATTAACATTGTTTTATACACATATCATTATTTAGAAAATAACCTAAGGCTGTTCACTATTTTAAAAAAATTTGAGTTTTATGTGAATAGTTGTAACGTTGTTCAATATTAAATAAATGTTTAATAATTGAGGTATAATTGACTAAGTTTTTACTATTCCTAAAAGAATAGATCAAAATATAGTTCCAACTATGCCAATATAATGTCTATATAGGATGTACGTTTTGACTTATGCCCTAGTAAAATGCATTTCTTTTCTTTGTTTAAGAATTTCATACAGAGTTACACAAGAGATATCTTCACACAACCATCCCTCACTCAGAACAGATAGACTAGGAAGATGGCAACTGCAACTAGTCAACAGTAGACACCACCAACACTTGGACTACTCTTGTCTGATCGAATGGTAGGACCATCACTGTTATAGCACATTCACAGTCCCAGAGTATGTAACTAATATTTGATGACAGGATTAAGATCATGGTAGACTTCCATGGTAGACTTCAATTCCACTTACATGCTAACTTCTCTCTATTGTTTAGTTAAAACTCAAATTCAATATTCATGAAACTAAGCTAACTGACTGACTGTCGGTAACATAAAAATATGATTAATAAAGTCACTAGCTTATTAATCAACTCATGTATTGTAACAGCCAATCCAAATGTCCTTGCTCTTTAAAGAAAAAAAAAAAGAGACTCCAATGTGGTTTAATGCATTAAGTTACATGCAACTGATGTATACACTTTGTAGGAAGAGAGACTTTAATAACATAGTGTCATCTTTAATCAATCAATGGCAGCTAGCCAGCAGTAGACACCACCAACACTTGGGCTACTTCTGTCTGATTGGACAGTATGACCATCACTTTTATAGCACATGTGCCACCCTAAAGTATTGAATTCATTGTCTGATCATGCACATATGATCATTGGAATGATGATAAAACTGTAAGAGAACAATGATAGATAAAGAATGATCATATGAGCATATCTTAAATTCACAACAAAAATTACCTTATATAAATGAAAAAAAAAAGTGTTTTCTATTACATATCAAATTTTATGATCAAAATACACAAATACCACAAGGGACTCACTAAAAATGTCATGTTCTTATATACAAGTTTCACTTCCAACAAAATGCTTGTACTGATTCCAGTAAAGTTAATGCATCAAACTGTTTCCATCTTCCTTTTTAAGAGTGAGACATTCAAACTGTTGTAACAGTCTTACAGAATCATCCATCATAACCTCTGGCCTAACTTGAGGTTTATACTGCTAAAATCATATCCTAAAATTTTAAACACGTTCTAGTCATTAAGCCACTTACTTATCACCTAACATCAAACCTCCCTCTTGCAAAACAACAATACAAATGCCTAACTTAGAAAGAACACAACCTACAACTAGTTGTGCCACTTAAGAAACTCCTCAGTGCCTTCTAGTATCTTGTAATGAAAAATGCTGAAAATCAGCTATGAGCATATCAAATCAGTAATTTAATCAAAATTAGGATTAAAGAATTACATAATTAGAATGAAATGCATACCACCACTCTCAGGACAGTGAAAATTGGGGTCTAATCCTTTTGCACACAGTTTAACTATCTTATCCACATTTCCATTATTGACATAGTCAACCATTCTACGAAGATTTGTCTGTAAAATAAACAAACAACTAATTACCATCAAAGATGTATATCCTTCAATAATCAATCTTTATAACTTAAAAAAAGGAAGAGTTATGAGAAATAATAAGAAACATTTAGTTAAAAGTTCTGGTAAAATTATATATCCAGTTGAGGAATTTGAAACTATCAACTAAAATATTTAAACTTTTATAATAGAGAAATTACAAAAAAAATTAAAGTTATAAATAAATACCACAAAGTATTGTATTCTTTGTTTCTAAAAAAATAATTATATGGACAATTTGCCTAAAACACAGTTTGAAACTTATTTATACATATAAACTAGTTGTTAAAACCCTAAAATATGAATATACGAAATAAAAATAAATCTGCGAGAAATTTTTTATACAAATATAAATTTATATCTTATAATTTCTAGAGAGGAAAATAATATTTACTCTTGTGTGTAGTTGCTTAACTTGCTTTTCATCAGTGTTCATCATCTTATAAACACGACGTTTATATCGCAGCTAAAAAGATTAAAATAAAGTTAAATTTTAAAGAGCAACAAACAATTCAAAAGTTTTCATTATCATTTGATTTTTCAAAGCCTATTCCCTTGCCTGTGGTTTCGCTAGTTACATGATAGTTTTCATTATCATGTAAGGGTAATATCTATAACACGATTTAAAAAAATCTATGTTCATGATTTCATTTCACTGTAAGAAAAATAAAGATAATCAATATTCATTATCTTACAAACATGAGGTTAATAATGAAGTTAACGGAGATAGAGATATAAAAACATCAAGGTTTAGAAAGCCAGTGTATTCCATAAATTTCAGCAATTTTAACATGATCACTCTTATATATTCTTTTAGTATTTTAAAAGCTTGCCTGCTGAATAATTCAGAAGAATAAATTAGTAGCATAAATGCTAGATATTATTCAAATCCTATATAAATATATGTTAACTGTGATGAATAAAATACACTAAACACGCTATACCTATAATATACAGTTCACAACTCAAACAACTTTTTCCAATTTATTCTTGTCCAAAGTTACTGATGAAGAGTGGAATTCCTTGAAACTGGTATCAAATGATAGGTTGGACTTCATGTGTATTTTAGTATCTTAAACAACTTGTTTACTGAATAATTCTGAAGATTAAAGAAGTAGCGTAGAGGCTAACTAGTTAACTTAATAACTGTTAAAGTGCAAGTGTAGGGTAGTTTGAACTGTTAAGAAGTGCTAATGTGCTAACTCTTTAACTCATTTGGTAAAGCACTCGCCTGTTGTTCAAGAGAATATCTAAGTAAATAATAAAATTGAAAACTGAACCAACGGGGGAAGGATCGTAATAATTAAAATAGTTATGAATTGTACCCCTTTCATTACTAGTTTAGAATATGCCTTTAGTCAGAAATATTTAGGTGAGTATTCATGCAAGTGTCCTGTATGTACTACCAACATTCTAACTAACAGATGTCGAAAGGTCGTTAACATATGCTAATCATTTTTATTCGGGTAAAGTTACGTACGCCAACAGTTAGAAACTTTGGCCCTGTGCCCGACACCCCTGGGGAAGGGGGGCAAGCCCACCTGAAAGGGTAGTACCGATTCTTCTACAAATTGATACGAATTAGGGGTTTTCCCATCCCTATACATATTTCGAATAGTCGGTGACGTATGCTAAGTTGGATTCTGGTATAACACACTTTTAACATTTTTTTATTTTATTTTAACGGTAAATCAGAATTCCCTTCGTCCAGCTTTCAACTCCAACAGCCAGTCGGAGGATGTCCAGCCTGGTAAACAAACACGTAATAACTGCGATTTTTTAAACTTTTTTGTTTCTTCTCTTTGCTTTCCAAAGTTTAAATTATTCTCTGTAGTAAATTTTCTAAATCTGCGTTTTGCAGATACTTTTAAACCACGATTCTCAGACCTATCGACTTATTTTCTGTCGTATAGATAACAAAAATAAATCCTTTCTTAAACTGTAGATGACATTAATTTTCCCGAATAAAAGTCCAAATTACATCATCTTTATCAGATGAGCTTATTTAAGGCGATTAAATTTATCTGTTACAAGTTTTACGTTCAAGTGAAATCTGCCAACAGCGCATGACTAAGTCAACTTTAACTATATAAGTTTCACTTAACTAAATAACATGACTAAGCCAACTCGTAGTACACTATACAAGTTTCACTTAGTTAAAAGGTGTAACTAAGCCAACTCGTAGTACACTATACAAGTTTCACTTAGTTAAAAGATGTAACTAAGCCAACTCGTAGTACACTATACAAGTTTCACTTAGTTAAAAGATGTAACTAAGCCAACTCATGCT